AAGGCAGGGAGGGAAGCTGCACTCAGGCACTCGTGGGTGGAGGGGCTCCCCTACCCCAGGACCTGCAGGGAGATTCCCTCTCCCTCAGCCACAGGAGAGGTAGCTCCCCAGCTGCATGCCCCCGCGGGCACCACCACCCCAAGATCTCCACCACTGAATGCTTCCAAAGGTTAGTGGAGTCCCTTGGTCAGCTTCACCTGATCAAATGATGGGAGTGGACCGGGTAATGATGCCATCCTGCAGACAATGCAGGAGAGCAGAAAGATGCAAGCTCTGCCTATCTGGGCAGGGAGATTTTGCTGACATGCTGAGCAGGCAGGCTAACCTGCTCTGGTGTACCAGTACAGTCTTGTACATCAGGCAGTCAGGGCTTCTGCTGCGGGGCTCAGCCCATTGCCCACTTCAGTCACATAGAAAAGCCTTCCAGCTGAAAGCACACAAGCTCACAAGCTGTTTCCTTCTATCCCAGGTTCATTTTAAGGCTCAGCATGGCTTCTGGTGCAGTTACCTTACTTTAGCAAAGCAGGCAGAAATTTACATATTTGTCCTGCCACTGCGAAGGCCAGGGAGATGAGCATCCAGATCATAGAAGCCACTTCAAGCAAGGTCACCCAGCCATGGTTGGCTTCAGATCTCTACTTGTCAAAGGTCTTTTCCCCACCAAGAGAGATAACAGCTCCATGCAATTCACCATCCAGCTATAAGAGGGACTTCCCCCCCATCAGTCCTCCTCTTTATCCCTGTATCTTCACATGTCAATAATTACTGCACAGTACTCTCTACAGACTTCAGCGTATTTTTGGATGTTAACCCACAAGTTCTTTGAAGCAGAACAGCATCTTCCTCTGTGCATTTTCTGTGCTACCTGTGTAAATTGGTAATACACAGTCCTATAGATCTCAGGTGATCAGAGAAGCAAAGGGCTGACACAGCTAACAAAGCTGAACACTTCCACCAGGAGGCTGCCCTGGCCCAAGTAGGAGAAGCTAAAGAACGCAGCAAAGGAGGAGAGCTCTCAGTTTTTATCCATGTGTCCTGTTTGGCACAGGCAAGCAAACACTGCTGGTTCAGGGACTCTGCCTCCCTTTCCAAGAAAGAACAGAGCAATTAGCAAAAAAAGAAAGTCTTATTTGCTGTGTAAGATACAGAGATAAAGACACCAAAAATTTCATTGATACTATGCCCTCCAGCAAGCTGCCTTCCCATTGCACAACAGGTTTATCAGCAACAGAAGGCTAACAGGGTCCTGCACTAGCCACATCTTCCTCTACATCTGCTGCTTCTACTGAATTCAAGATAGCCACAACTGTCTGTTATAGGATTTTCAAAGGAACACAGCAGTCACATACTCACAAACAGTCCATGCAAATACAAGACCAAGACGACCAGTGACAGCAATTCCAGCAATTCCCCTTCCATCAGCTTATCATAACCCTGATGGAGAGGGAGATTCCTCACTAATCACAAAGTGCTGTTCACTAGCCAGACCAGGTGGCAGTATCTGACCTGTGAAAGCAGCACTGGCATTTTCAAGGAGGGGAGGTAGCCTGGCATTCACAGGATGGATCTTCAAAAAGTCATCCTCTGAACTAGATAGAGGCAGTAGAGTTGGAGTAAAGAAGTCATCTCTGAGTGGGAGCCTTGCAAGAACCAAAGGGTCACAAAACACTAGCATGTTTCGCAAGGAAAGGCTCTTTAACAAACTCAGCTGAGATGAGCAAGCCTGGATGCAGCCAGCCAGCTGAACACAAGCAGAAATGAGGCGATCTCTAAATTTGATCTTAGAGAGAACAGACTAGCAAATCTATTTCTGACATTTCTTCCATAGATCTTTGACAAACCATTCCTCACTACGTTATCCATTTTGGAGAGCACAGCCAATAATTTGTTTGCATTTTTTAAAGTTTGCATTTTTATCTAAATTTTTCTTGAGAATTGGAAAGGCAGCTCCAAGATTCCTAGTTAGCACTAAAACAATTTTCACCAATGGGTAGAGATCCTAAACTAAAGATACACTCAAGTCATGTATGTGTATCCAATGGAAAACAGTCCATAGCTCTGCAGAATCTCCAAGAGGCATCTCAAGGTCTGCAGCTGCAGAAATGGAAAGCTGATTCTGCCTGGGCTCTGTCAAAGGAGTCTGTTAGGCTGTCTGCTTCATATTCTTGATCGTGTTTGGAGACCAGTCCTTAACAACCAAAGAGAGCCTCTGGCATGCACCAGGATAAAGGTTTAGCACACCTGTAAGCATACACATGAGCAGCAGTAATAGGAAATCACTCACTAGTAGCAAATTTATCATTCTGAATACATCTTGAGGGAGAAGTATTACTTCCCTGCTGATGATACATCAAGCACAGAAGCTGGCAAAGACAGATCAGGCTGGGTATCTCCTGTTATAAATTCCCTTCATCTGAGCTACAATAAAGACAGTAGAAGACCAAGTATATCCAATTACATGCTTGACTGGGGTACCTTAATTTCTGTTGCTTTAAATAAAATTGAATGAGCCTCCACACATTCTCTCCCAGGCTTGCTCCATGGATCTTGTGCCCCCTTACATTGCTACTGCAGGTAAGAAGGTACTTTTGTGACTGCAACTCTCATTGTGCAAAAGACTTTTTCCTACATGAAAGCCAAGAAATTCCATGTTCTAGCCCTGCTCATGGGATGGAGCACATGTACAGCAAAAACCACACAAAGGAACGATTTTCGTCTGGAAAGCCAGCATAACCAAAGCAATTCAACATTATCATACAACCCTTCCTCTACCTCATACAGATGACTTGCAGAGCAAATTTTTCTATTTGTCATTCTTTACACAGAGACATGTTTGTGGGTGAAAATCTTGAGGATTAAAGGGGACTTAAATCAATCCAAATGGGAAACACATGCCAAAAAAACTGCCTTCCTTGACAATATCAAATAGGGAGGAAGAAGTGATGGACAGAAGGAATAGTCTCTGTGAGAGGCCTGTCAACAGGGTTCTTTTTCTGCCTTTGCTAGGATTTGAATGGAAGACAAAATATTTCCCTCTTTTTGCATAGAAAGCCCACATCGCATTTCCCTTTCCTCAGAAAACTTTATCAAGCACTAAGCCCAAGGGAAGGCAGAAACTTTTGACAGTCCTACCCCTAGACTTTATTTTAGGGAGAGGCAACAGAGCAGCATGTACATCTCTGCAACAATGAGGATCCTCCAGCAGAGAAGGCAAAGATAAAAATAGTCCTCTTCCCTTTCAGCATGCAAAATTACACCGTGTTAACCTCTAGTAAATACAGCTTTAGGCTTATAGATGCTTCCCTGAAAAAGTGCTGAACAAGCTCCAAGAACATCCACCCCTCCCTGAGGACCTACAATGTCAATAGCTGGAGACTGCACAGTGCCACTGTCTCCTATTGCACAACTAGACATGACCTTGGCACAGTCCAACACACATCCTACCATGAAACATGATGTATACTTGATTATCATGTTCCGGAAGGCATGTACGTGTGCCCGAGGGGGGCTTTGGAAGCAGAGAAAAAGTGCTATTGTCATCTTCATAAGTTTCCATATCTGAGGGGTCCTCAGGAAGAGATACGGCACTGGAGGCATGGCTGTATTGATCCCTGGGCCAGAGAGCAAGCAACCATTGCCATTTCTTAGGTGCCAGAAGACTGAAACATCCTTAACTCTCCCTTTTAAATATTGTTATTCAGAAGGAGCTTTCATAGTCTGACCAGGAAAAAAAAGCCATCTGAAGACTGAGAAAGTGTCTTCTAACTTTTTTTTTTTTTTTTTTTTAAAGCTCAGGAGTTAACCCCAAAGCTTGGGTTTGTCAGAAACTTATGTTCTGATTCTCCATGTTTACATGGTCACAGGTTTTTTTTCCCCCCAAATCTACTAGTAAGTGCACAAGCAAGAGCAGTAAGAATTCACAGTGACTACACAGACTACCTCTGGCACCAAAGCTGGATTTTTACAGCATTTCCTCTGCACCATTTACAAGAATTGCTCACTTGGATGTTTACAGAAGCTCCTCACATGCCATTGCAGGCAAACCACAACTTCACATTTATAAAACATCAAAATGCTTGGTACCTGCCTGTGTCTTTCACAGGCCATGCAATCAATTCCATTCCTTTTTAAGTACTTCCAAGGGCTTTTAAGTATGGTGGATATTTTCCTTCTTCAGTGCTTGGCTAAACTGGAAATGTACTAATTTCAGTCCTGCTTTCTAAACTAAGGTCCTCCAGATTCCCAATCACTTCTTACTCTGACAGTTCCCTCCTAAACTTGAGCCTCTTCTCAGCACAAGTTAATGGTGTTGCTAGAAAGTCATCATACTTAGCTCTCCCTCTTAGTCATCTCTACTTTTTCGGGGCAAGGGGGAAGGCAGGCTGCCAGGTCCTTGAACAGGCTGTGTGTTCCTCATCATTATTTTAAGCAGACAGGCTTAGGCTGCCACCACAGAAAAAAGCCCTGCATTCCCCACCTTGGTTCCCAGCTGTGCTTTTCTGCCTGTGTCTTCCCTTGCAGCCCCTGGGCAGCAGGTGCATGGCACTGGGGAACCGAGACACCAAATCCATTTCAGACAGGTCATTTCAGCACAGCATCGGCTCTGGACTACTGTGTGGTTGCACGGACTGCTACTTTTTGCAGCTATCCTCACTTATGTTGAAGTCAGTTATCCACACTGACATCAATGTTTAATTTTATGCCTCCCCTCCAAAGGACTGTCCTGCTTCTGCTAGCTCTAGAACATTTAAGTGAAAGACACTACATCCCCATTCTTTACTGTCCAAGGTAGTCATCTACGCAGTATTAAAAATCAAAACTATAAAACATTATTTAAAATATATAAACAACCATGTTCTCATTATGGACTTGGAAAGTGCAGAATTGTTTCAAACTGCAAACAACCCCCCCCCAACATCTTTCGAGAACGCAGTTTTTGTTGAAACTTCACTTGAGTTTCAACCACAAAAAAACGACAGGCTGTGTTAGCCCAATCCTACCTTACGTCACACTAAGGTTAATCCTCCACTTCAGCTCCCTGCTGTGCAAAGACTCGAGGTGTGCAGAGAGATGTGCTTCAGAACTGCCCCTCAAGAGTCCTCCTGACTGAACAAACACACTGGCATCAGTTGATGTACAAAAGTATGCAGCCACACACATACCAGTGCTGATATTTTCTGAACTATTTCTGATATTTCTTTTATCCAGAGACAGACAGGTCTCGCTCCATTCTTTTCCCCTCACATTTCATTAGATCAGCTACAGATTTTGCTTTAACCTGGCTGCAAATTCTGTTTTGACCAAATACATCTTTAGACACTCCCTATTCCACTTCAGTTATACAAACACCCTCTGACCTAGCCCTTATGGCGTAATCACAGTAAGAGACTATTTCCTGCCCCTCCAACCTGTTGAGATATTTTTAGTGGAAATTGAATGCACATACCTGTGGCAGGTGAGGCACCGATGAGAATGTGGGTGTGGTGAGACCTTTGCTTTTCTAGTGTCAAGTGTTTCTACAGCTTGTCATTCCAACTCAAGGGAGGTGGCCAGCTGTCTAGGAGTTACTCCTCTCAAGGAGGCTCTGCACCCTTTTACAAGGAGCAGCTCTACATCTCTCCTCTGTTATTCTTGCAGCTGCAGACAAGGGATAGAGAATCTTTGATCCCATCAAGGGGCAAGACAGATCCCCTCTGCTGTTGCAGCCTTCCACACAGGAAAGAATGCAGAGAGATGCTAGAGACCCCACCAATCTGTTAAAGAAAGCCTCATACTACTTCTGAGAGGAATGACCCTGCCCTACCTCCTCCAGCATTAAAATTGCCCTTCACATCACTTTACAAGATTTGTTCAGGACTGACTCTGCATGCCAACCATTACATAGCTGGGGAGTAACACTAAGAGGTTTTCCAGAGACCCAGGAGCCTCAGAGGGCTTTAATATTCATTTGCTGATAGCAGGACCAACCCTGTCCTGCTCATGAAGGATAAGAAATTTTGTTCAAGCATCCAGCAGCACAGAGGACCAGTTGGGAAGAGTTCCCTTGCTTCATGGAGAACAAGCATTTGCATCTCCACCAATATGCTAACTCATTTTATTCCTCTGTCTCTGGTGCATTCTAGGGCTGTTTCCTCTTACCTGTGGGGATCCCTACCAAAGGGCCCTGTAGAATTAACATGTTCTTGTTACTGGGCTTCCAACCCTGCCTCTCTGCACTAGGATGCATGCAGGATGCACACTCTCTAAGAATGCTCTTAGCAGTCAACATACCCAAGATTTGTACCCTTACTTATCTGCCACTGATCTTAGACTGCTTTAGAGTTATCAAACTTGAAGGTGACTATTCAGGAGATTTGAGTAAATTGCTACCAAAAAAAAAAGGATAACATAAGAACACTGGCACTCTTCTCACACAGAGGGTATGTTTGTTTTTCATGAAGACAACAGAGCTGTTTTAAATAAAAAAGAAAAAACATGTTCCCCTTAGTTTTAACCATGCTGTTCTTTGTAATTTTGCAAAATGTGCTGCCCCAAACAAAAGTATAAAAGCATTCTAGCATACGTGTGTATATTAGACTTAATGTTGACACAATGAAGTAACCATTGTGCTCATCTTGACTACTGCAGTAGTTTCTGCTTTCCATTTAAATCTAAAAAAAGAATCTTTTGAACATTGTTTTTCATGTAGCAGAAAATCCAGTTTATAAATGGTTCTAACAGACATTAAATTTTCATGTTGAGTGATCACGAAGGAGCTTCTCGCCCTTCTCTGCCCACTCACCAGCAGAAATGTCCAGTGTGAAAATTTTTATTGCCAGTGGGAACTAGCACAAACCAACTGGTTTGATATGACAAGTACATTTATCCCATTCTTGCAGAAGTCTACTTATACGGCACTGAACTCAGCCTAAGGCAGAAAAATAAATAGGGGAACAGAAAGAGCCTCTACAGTACCTGTTTTTCTTCACCACCAAGCTCATGAGCTGCTTTCCTATGTAAATACTACCCTCTTGTGTTGGTTTGTAAGTACTACAAGAATCAGCCACAAAAAAATAAAACCCCAAACCTCTTCTTGATCTTGCCAACCATTACAGATTCTGGATGGAATTCCAGGCAGTGAATAGCCTAATCCTGCCGAAACAGGTTCTCTCTGCGCTGGGCCACTCTTCAGCTGACACATCTAAGGTATTGATGTCACGTCTGAATCGCCAAGATTGACCTAAGAAAACCTTCTGGCAGAGCTGACACTCAAAATGAGCAGAACATGGCAGCGATAAGACAAGGAAAACCAGGTAGCTTTAAAATTAAGCAAAATATATTTGGAATTCTCCACACCACATGTCCCTTCACTAAGGCAAGGGCATCACAGCTGTGCTGTGGAAACGCAGTTACTTTTAACTTTTTCCTCTCTTTCTTCTGACAGACCTATCTGACCCCAGGTGCACCTGGTGACTTTGGGTAGTGAAACAGGCTGCAGCAGTGGGAAAGCTGCATTCACACTGCACTTCTCTGTGAAAGAGCAGGGCCAGACCACAGCTACTTTCAGGTCCAGAGGTGATGGTGTGGTGTCTCTGAAAGGAAGACTGGTCCCATGGTACCACAATGGACCAAGCTCAGTCTGTAACTGGTGAAGCAGAAGAGAGGAAGTTGCTTTCCAGGTGGACTGCCCAATTTCCTAAGCAGTTCTGAAAAAATCCACTGGAGGTGGCTTGGTAGACTGGTTTTGCCGAGCTCATGCAGCCATAAAAAAGTCTGTCCAAATAGTGAACTAGAAGACTTTCCTTTTCTTCTTCTTCCCACCTGCCACCTTATTCCTGACACCAATAGCTTCTTCTGTGTCATCATCATCATTGCGAGATCGCTTCTTCTCTCCCTGCTCCCGCAGCTCCTGCAATGCAATCAAGACATTCATTAACCAAGAGTTCTGGCACCCGAGGAAATTCAGACTACAACAGTGAGAAGAGGGACAAAAAGCCAGCACCCACCATTCGAGCAAATCTCTGGGCCTCAGCCACACGCTCTGTCAGCATCATAACTTCTTCCTCTTGCATGGGGAATGCTGGCAGCTTCTTGCCAATCAGGTGTTCAATGCGCTGGAACAGCTCTACATCGTACCTGAGAAAAGACAAGACACCAGTTTGAATCAGCCCTCTAGAGACTGCTTCAGCTGTCACCACCCACAGACATCACCCCTTATCTCCAGCCCACAGATATTGTTCGCCTGTGCTGATGGTCTTACAAGCAACTCATAATTGCATCCGAATGATGCCATCGTTGGGGATGTCTTCACTGATTTATTCAGCTCATCTCAGTTCAAAGTATTTGGCAAAGCCTTTTTTTAGACAAATACTTCAGTATTTATCAAAAACCCACACTTACTTAACCTGTATTATGTATTATAAAAATGTATGTATATTATACAATCAAGTTATAAACAGTTAACTCTGCTCATTACGTGCCTGCTTCTAGAATTTATCCTAGACCTTTCTCCCTCCCCACCCTGGGCTTAGAATTCTCTCCCCTTTAACTAAATAAATCCAGCAGGCACCTCAAAATGAAAAGGAGTATTTTCTTCTCACCCAGGATGAGGTCAGATGTTTTCTGCTCTGAAACACAGCTGGGAAGAGTAGGTCTGCCATATTTTAACACTTACTGTGTGACAAAGGTGATAGATTTGCCAGATCTCCCAGCTCGAGCTGTTCTCCCAACACGATGAATGTAATCCTGAAAACAATTTTCGTGATAAGCAGTAAGATATGTGCACCAAACACAGAACAGAAGTTATGGGGAATCAGCCCATATAATTTTTCTTTAGGAAAGAACAAGAAAATGGGGAGAAAATACAGCCAGGATTAAATACTCAGGACCGTGTGCAGCATTAGGATTTGAGAAGATGCTGGCTTGTGGAGGCATATCTTTGGTTTCAACATTTGAATTCCTCTCTTTCTGAAGGAGACCACCTCCAATTATTCAAGACTGCAGGACAAAAGTTGTGATACGTGACTTTGCTAATGAACTACCACTTCCTTGGAAAGCTGATATTTAAAGTGAGCTAATGTCTGCATTTTCAGTCTTGGGATCTAGTGCTCTACATAGTCTGCCTTCCAGACAAACCCTGCAGCAAGTAGATTTAAATTTGACAAGCACAGTGAAAGGGAGGATGAACGAGAACAATTTGGAAGCGTCTGATCTATTGAGCATCTTCTGTTTATATGGTTTTCCAGGCTGTTTTCCAGGTTTTATACTGCTTTATGGAAATTAAAAAACTCCCTTCTCCGTGCAGGATCTGTAGAGGAAGGAAGCATCATGAGAAAAGATGTGTTCTATGACATGGTTAGACAACAGGGAGGGGCACAAAAACTGTAACGATGTCATTCAAGCTGCTGCCCTCACCCATTATTTTTTTTTAACCATTGTCCTTTTACAATGTCAAAGGCAGTGTCTTCAAAAGAACCACCATATTTTCTTCTGTTTGCAATGTATAGTATCTCTGATCATTATAAGGAACAATAACAATTCCTGAAATGCACGTCAATGGCATGCTTTCTGAAACTAGGCTGGGAAACAAATTCACCCCAAGGTAACACTATACTTTCTATAAGGTAGAGAGTTAGTAACTCGCTTTTCTTCAGTTTGCTGTACTTTTGTGATATGAAGGTGAAACGTATTAAAGACATCTTTCTTGATCAAATCCTCATTGAGCATAATGGGGGAAATTTTTTTTTTTTTTGGGGGGGGGGGGTTGGGTTTTTTGTTTGTTTGTTTGTTTTTTAAACACAGTTTAAAATGTGAAGGCAGACCTGGATCACAGGAACGGAGATGACTACCTGAAACCAGCAATATGTTAAAACTATTTCCAAAGTCTAGAAGCCCTTTAATACAATACGGCGAAACACATACTCTAAGCAGAAATACAAAGACACAGAACATCCCTCACTTCCCCTCTCCACTTATGGGATCAGTTCTGCAATCCAGATGAGGCCACCCAACCAAACTGAGATACCAACTCAATTGCAGAGGCTGAACTACATCTTTTAGTCTAGGGAAGTGTGAACTAGACCTCCAGTCAGCAGAACAGAGAAAAGGTGGGTTTGTTCCTTTGTCTAGCTTCACTACACCTCCCAGTGACCAGAAGCGTGCTCTCAGCTGGCACAGACTAGCTTACCTTAGAGTGTGTAGGAATATCAAAGTTTATCACCACATCTACGTGTGGGATGTCCAGACCTCTGCTTGCAACATCAGTAGCCAGCAGAATAGAACGTGCCTTTGCCTTGAACTTGTTCAGAGAGCCCAAGCGTTTATTCTGGAAGAGAGGAGGCCAAAAGGGAATGAGAGAATAATGCTCATTCTGGTTAATATGCTCTTGTTGAAATACTGGTACAGAAGAACTGGGGGAGAAACTACTCAAAAACTTCACTTCTCTAACTTCTTTCTGAACTACTACAGAATCAATGGCAGCATTCACTTTAGTTAAATTTCTAGGGATCAGTCCAGTCCACTAGCTGTGAAATACTCCTTCTGTAAGGTAGTTGTGACTCAGTATGGTGCAGCCCAATTGCCCAAAATTTCCCATTTCTCCCGTCTACTGCATTGTGTGGGGTATGCCCATACCTGACTCATCTGCCCATGGAGGGGAATGGCAGTGAACCCCAGGTTGCGAAGCAGTAGAGCAGTCCTCTGAGTGTTGTTACATGTACTACAGAATATCATGAAAGAGTTTCCAGCTAGTTCATTCAAGATGTAAACCAGGTAGCTGTCCTGTAAAGAGAGAGAGAAGAAAAGAGAAAGAAAGAAAGAAAAAAAAACAAACCAAAAAAACGCCAGAGATAATCACATATGCTGCCACATTAAAGAGTAAGTATAAGCCAGCAAAGATGGCAAGATATTGGGCAGATGTGGGAACAGCAAGACAAGACACCATCAGAAGAGGGAAGAAAGAGAAGTGGCATTACCTTGAATTTGGAGGGGATGAAAATGTAGTACTGCTGTAGTTTTTCAACTGTCTGATATTTGGAAGACACAGCACATTTAACAGGATTCTTCAGAGCAGCACGCTGGAGTTTTTGAACCTGGGAAGATCAATGTAAGTTAGTACTAGATGGACAGAGATCTTGTCAGAAACCTGCATCATACAGTCTAGTCAACAGTATAGCCTGATGGAAGAACTAAAGCAGAGTACTCTGCTCTCACCTTCTTGGTCATGGTAGCAGAAAACAGGAATGTCTTTCTGTCTCGAGGAATCACTTTTAGTATCTTATCCACCTGTAAAAATAGAAAGGAAATGGAAATGCTGAATACAACAGCAATCGAGACATAAGCCTACTCCAAATATAATGATCATCCAAATGAACAGTAATACACGTGTGCAACTTAGACACACAGTAGGAACAGACTTCCCCTCTTTTAAAGGAGAGGTGTAGGCTGATAGCTTGCTGAAAATTAGGCATTGTGAACTCCAGAAGTCCAATAGCAGTGCAAGTATCAGGCAATATTCCTATAGGAACGTGCGTGTGATCGTGTTCTACAGTAACTGTGTCAATGTCATGCGCTCCAAAGAAACCAGTAGATTTCAGAGACAAAACGCCTCCTACTGCCTTACTAGTGTTCTGCAGAACCCTGCTAAAGTTCTATTCCCACCATAGGCTTTTGTGCAATTACTAGATCTTAGTTACAATTTGCTATTAATTTCTACAGAACAGCTCAGTGTTTACTATGTGGCTGTATGAAGCGATTTTAAAGGGACTCATCCGGTGTTCCAAGCTCTTTTAGCAGATTCCTACCTCTGTCTCAAAATCCATGTTAAGGATCCTGTCAGCCTCATCCATCACTAGGAACTTCAGAGCTCGTAAGTTGAAGCCCTTTGTGTTCTCTAGATGATCAACTAGACGGCCTGGGGTTGCTACCAACAAAATCACGAGAGCAAATTTAGAATAAAAGCAAAGGAAAAGATCCAAAGAAGCGAGAGAGTACTCCATTACAGAAATGGGATTCTTTGCCCAAGAAAAGTAAAGGCAGGTTGCTTTGTGGGAAGGATTCTTTTATAAGATATCTTTAGAATGTTTTGAAGTAAGACTAATGGAGTCAGACTCTCTGAAGAATGCCCTCCTTCCCCCTCTCCCCCTAAAAAACCCCAAAACCAAACATGCAAAACAAGACAGACTGTAGATGAGCTGTACTGAGAAGGATGAGACCAGAATTTTGAATACTCGAGGAGAATGAAAAACCAAGCCAAAGGCAGTCTAGCAGGAATGCTTTGGAATGAGCTTGTAGCAGCAAGGCTACTGGTGTATAGTTGAGAAAAATTAACAAGCCAGTACTCAGATCTCAGGACAAAAACAAATGAAGGATGTACTCTCACTTCTTCAAATGCACAAAACCTTTTGGCACTCTTTCTTTGGACAACTGCAGTTTGGTAATATTCATACCCTGTACCCCCAGCATGTGAACTTACCAATTATTACATGTGGTTTCTTGGCTAAGGCCAGAGATTGAGACATCGTGTCAATTCCACCCACAATAACCGCTGCAGAACAAAAAAAATACAGTGAATCTCTCAGTGCTATAGTGTTTCCTCCTACTCCCTGCCACCCACAACAACTCTGTACAAATGAAAGACTACATATCTTTATGAGAATTCACTTTATTTTAGCACACCTGACCTTCCCAGGCCTCTTAAGCCATACAATTGAGTCCTTACTGACCCCGGATATTTTCTTTTCACAGTTGAAAGAGTTACAGGCAGAATCTATTCCTTGCAGCTTAACTCAGCTGCAAAAATCCAGGAATTCTAAAAATACCCACAAAACTTTTATGTTTATAGACAATATCTAAGGAACCAATACAGACAGTCTGAAGGAAAGATTAAACTACATCACACTACAGAGTGGAGCTCTCTGCAATTTCACCAGACAATAGAGAAGATTATCTTCTACTTCCATCTTTAACTGTTTGGATATAAGATGCAGAAGAGCTGCAGACTACTCCATGAGGAAAGACCATACAGTCTTTCTTTCCCAAACCTGATATCAGATCTCTGTCTTCCAGCATCACGAGCTTTTCTCACCTTTTGTTCAACCCTCCATACAAATACTCTGTACTTTTTCCTTTGCAATCTAGAGCTGACAAATTTCAGTTTCAAACTTCAGCAGTCTTCAGGAAAAATGTTCCAGTATCACAAAGCTACTTACTACTGTGGACACCAATGGAAGATCCAAGAGCTTCAAACTGCTCTGAGATTTGGAAGGCCAGCTCCCTTGTTGGTGTGAGGACAAGAGCAAATAATCGCTGAGGTGTTTCCAGCAGTGCTTGAAGAATTGGCAAAGCAAAGGCTCCTGTTTTTCCAGAGCCAGTTTCTGCCAGTCCAATGATATCTCTGCCTACAAGGAGCAGCAACGAGGAAAAAAACTGTTACAAATCTAGACCAGAGAAAGAAGCCTTTAAAGCACTGTGCAGTAAAGCACAAGAATTCCCTAAGGATAGGAAAAAAAGGAGACACACAAAAGGCAAAGAAGAACAAAGGGCCAAAACAAAGAATTTCAGAACATCTCTGCAGCATTTTTAGAGCGCAACTTCATTTGTACAATATTACAGTCTCCATCCTTTTCCATCCTCTAGTTAAACTTCTGCCAATATACAGGTTTTCATACAAACTTTAGGTTAAGAAAAGCTTTATTATTTGTCAAATCTGTCTGTCCATTTACAGCCTATTGCTTCTATCTGGGTAAGTATTCTAGACCAACTGTTGTTTGTTTACTGGCTTACAAGGAAATAAGACACTAGTGTTTGAGACTTCGGTCATACCAACTACAAGACAACAGCACTACCAAACTCACATTTCACAAGCCACAATCAATTTTATGTCATTGATTAAGAGAGTAATCTAAACCGGTTTGCAGCAGGAAGGATTAGGACAGCAAGTCCTTTGTCCAAAACCAGTGCAGGCAACATGGTAGGATTCATCAGTAGAATCCATTTTGATCTCCTAAACTTCTACAGTTGAGAAGAACATGCTGTCAAAAGGCCTCAAACTGGAGATGACTTCTCAGGAATGCAATCTTACTTTTGTTTTTGTCAAGAGATTCTTATATATGGAGTAGAGTCTGACAATAGTAAAGTACTAGGACAGAGTAGACACTGAAAGTTTATTCTCATTCTGTCACTACATAAATCTGTTCTTGCTTCACAGTGGGGTTTTGTTTGTTTTGTTTGTTTGTTTGCTTGTTTTTTAAAAAAAAACAACCACCAACCAAATATTCTAGAGGCAGAAATGCTTGCTGGATTCAGTAATTTATTTTCCTATAATTCCAGGATGTTTACAGAAAGTCACTGTGGTTTGGTTATTATTCACTCCAGAAATCTAATTTCTAAGAATTGCCTGCTCACAGCAAAGCAGATTATACAAGCTATGTAATAAGTCAAGGCATCTCCAATTTCAGACACACACTGTAGGTCTCTACCAGAAGAGGCACAGCCCTAAATCTATCAGAAGTTTCCTGTGTGTCCTTGAGTATTTCAGAAAGAAAATGGCTGATACAAACTAGCAGCTCAAATGATTGACAATAATTCTGTTTAACGTGGAGCGTCAGAACTATGCAACAGTAGTGAACATTCAAGAACCCACATTTGTACCCATTTGAAAGTTTGCAATCATGGGCAGTGTTACAGGAGAAATTAGTATTCTAAGCTCCACCTGGGAAGGACGCAAGAATGAACACAGAGACTACTTCTAGACAGAAATCTTCAATGATGAAGAAGTGAGAACACTCTCATCCCTGCCACTTCTCACTCAGCAAAATTCATTCACATAGAGCTCCTGGGGCATCCCCAGATTCGGGATCAGAGAAGCACACTGCTCACCTTGGAGAGCCACTGGAATAGCCTCAACTTGGATCTTTGTTGGCATCTTCCATCCTAACTGGTCACAAGCTTCACACAGGACATCTGTCACTCCCTGAACATTAGTGAAAAGAGAAAAGGGACACAGACATCACCAAGGAGACCTAAATTAAATCATACAGTTACGTTAAAAACATGCTGCAACACAGCCAAGCTTGTCTCTAGCAGAGACAAATCCCATCAGACCCTCAATGCAACTACATGAAAGGGCAGGCTGCTCACAGTGATCCTCACCTCCAGCAGTAACTCCACAGGTTTGTTCAAAACCGCCAGAGGCAACTGCCATCAGCAATAAACTAGTCACCCCAGACCTCCTGCCCGAGCACGGCACCACGCCCGCCCGCGGATCGACGCGGCGACGGCGGCCCACGCGTC